CCCACCCAAGGCTACCCACTGCTAACTGCATCCACTATTTGTCCATACACATTTGGGTTTTAAGCTATTTTTGTTGCAGCAATTTATTGATCAATATTTTAGCCTAGGCGTTGGTCATTAGTTAGTCTGGCCAGGACATCAAGGAGCCTACGTAGTGGCCAGAAAGTGCGTAGGTCTCCTACAAATGATTGTAGCTCATATCCAACTCGAATATGCAAGAGCCGGGAAGAATTTGTTGTGGTCAGAACAGGCTGCCAAGACAGCTTAATCAATATTTTAATATGAGCCATATCGATTGCGGCCTCGCAGCCCCCAATAACTCTTTTCACACCATTAGTTTCAAGTAAGTCCTAAAGGGCGCCTCGAGGGGGACAAGTTTGCCAACTATTACACCGACATATCCTTCGCGCTATCCTTATCCCGAACACAATCTAATTAACTGTCATTGTGTTAAAAAGACGCCAAACTGGCAACCAAAAACTCCGCGTCCCCGTCCCCATCCTCGGCCCGCCCTCTTTCTGTGGCCTGCCAGTTGAACAATGACAGTGCCTCTTCACCCTCCAACCCGCCCTCCACCCACCTGTTCCGTCAGTCGTTTGCGTGTCAGGCTCTTGCTACTTGCAGCCCCACAGCCCCAGCACCTCCCCCGGTCACGTCATTCGTTGCGCTAATACTAATGCGTTGGCAATAACAAAGGTTGCACATGCTCAGCCCCACACCCTCTCGACAGTCGCCCCGCGGGCACCCGAAGTTGCCAGAGTTGTTGGCAACTAATCAATAGAGCGAAATTTACGTTTAATTAAAAATGTCTGCGTGTGTAAACCGGGGCAGGTGGCAGAAAACAGAGGCCAGAAGCCAGCAACCAAAAGGCAGTGGGGCATGGGCTTCGAGCCGTGACATTAGCCCAACTGTCAGAAGGATAATTGCCAGGCTTAATATGCAATTAGAAACTGCAAAGCAAATCATAAGGACTTCTTATTATAAATCAAAGGCATAGCATATATGATGACTAAAGATTGAGTTCCAATTATCACAAACCATTATAATTTATCGACATTGAAATGCTTTACATAAGCAGCAGAGCCCTGCTCATCCCGGGCCAGCCACTTCCTTCCCCCGATTTCAAAAGTCCGAATGAAGCCGAATGTAATTAGAAATCCTTAGCAAACATACATATGTAAATGGCTGCTCCTTCCAGTAAATGGGTGGGTCTGTGTGGGGGGCCGAGGATTGCTGCTGCGGCTGCAGTTGGTTTGATGTGCAAAATGAAGACATTTGAATTTGCGGTTCGGGCTTGAGCACCGTAGGCTATAGATTTTCTTACGACACACAGCAGTATATGCAGGTGTTTGGGGTAAAAAGGGGTTACATAATGCACCCACCCACTTACTGACACACACACATATACCTGGTTGTGGCCTTTGTCTGCCCGCTGGCCATGCAAGTGGGTGGTTAGGTCGACTGGGTGGCTAGGCGGTTGGGTGGCATCTCAATATAAACTGCCTTCAACATTTAATTAGTGTGTTTTCGCATACAGACCCATCTTTGCATGTGTATGAGTGTGTGTGGGTATGCAAATGGCGATGGGCGCAACTGTACATGCTCACCCACACCCACCCACACACACACACTCACACACATATGAATGGTTTCTCTCTCGCTCTCTGTGCTCCCAAGACATTGATGTTTTGTCGGTTATGCAAATTCCATGCCAACACCTTTTCGGCCAAAGACTAAGACAAACTTAAGTGGGTGGCAGAGTGGGGCCAGCATAAGCCCCTCCACTGGCACAGGCATACACATACCACGCAAGGATGCCATACACATACACTCACAATTGCCTTTTATAATTAATTTTACAGTTAAGTGTATTTCAAGAAAGTTAAATTTACGTAAATTCGAAAATTTTGAAAGGCCATTGCCTTGGCCAGGACTGACACACACACACGTACACTTGGCCACAAGGGTTAAGGCCCTGCCAGACCCAAGGATAAAGAGAGATGCAAAGCGAGTGTTAGTCCGTGTGTCAGTGTGAGACATTGCTGCGGCTTGTGTCTGAGACATTTGACTGCTTTTTGGGCTAAGCCCTACTTCGCCCTCGGGCCCACTCCATGGCCAACACAAATTTTATTGAAATTGCCGGGACTCTGGGCCGAGAGTACAGGCTGGACTAAGCAACACTTACATTATGCAATCTAATTATGTCTTCGTCGGTGTGTGAGTGTGTGTGGGGCAAAATGGCTTCTCAGTCCATAAGTTTTGATAACTGAAGTCTAGAGAAACAAGGACTAAACTTCTTGGCTTGGCAAAAAGTATATATGATAAAAATAAAAAGTTAATATTATTAAAATAAATGGATTTCATAGTTCCAGTTTTGAAAAGAAAGCTAAAAGAAATCTAAATAAATAGAGTCTTGAGTAACTTTCTTTAAGGACCTAATTAGGATCTAGGAACCTAAGAAAATCAATTTCTTACCCCCGCATTGTCCTCATTAAATCGCTCGTCCTGCGACTAATGAAATCATTAAAATTGTTTAAAAGCAAATTTTCGTTGGCCAGGCAAAGCTTATAGTAGGATAGCTGCAAAATTTATGTGGCAACTGGAAACTATGTTTTGGCATTACACACGCACACAGAGACACCAAGACATATCTACGAATATGCATAGATATGTATGTATTTCTATATATACAAGCCTCCCCCCCCCCTCACACACATAGACACTCGGCAAAGGACATTGGCTTGAGTTAGGATCGGGGCCGAAGCCGAGGACAGACAGCAAAAGTTGCCAGTTGAAGGCAGAGGCAAATCCTTAAAAGCGGAGACACCACCTCCCCAGCCACCCAACAGCTCCAACCACCTCCTGTGACCAGAACTACCCCCGGCCCCACCTCATTTTGGCCGCGTGCGCTACTTAAACCCTTGCCGAAAACTATCCGCAAAGGGCTTTGGAGGGGATGGGGATGCGGGCGGACATTGGGGTGGCCAGACATCGAAAACATGATTTTAGTGTTTTCAAATTTGAATTTTAAACAAGTCATAATATAATTTGGCCAAGCAGTGGCTCCCCCCAGCCCATGTCCACTTGCCGGGCTTTAATCCGGCTACCTCCCTCCACACTGCCAGCCACTCCAGCTATCCCAGCGACGTCTATGGAAAATTAGCCGAAGCTCAGTCCGAGGCCCAAGCTCATTTTCCAGCTCGAAGTTTTTCTTGGCCACGCCGAAAATTGTGAAATTTAAATTAGATACAAAAGTATCTATAACTGGGGGAGTGGATGTGTGTGCGTGCCAACTAGCTCTCACGAAATATTGTAATTTTCTTGCAACTAAAGACGTAAACGGATATTAGCAGCAAATTAAGCCCTCCCATGTCCTGATTTTTCGTCTTCATTAGTGATGGGAGATATTAAGTAAATGAAATTGACTTTATAATATTAAATTATAGATCAACAAAAAGAGGAGAAACGGCTTTAAAGAAGCCTCTAAGGTCTTTAATTATCCTTATTATTTTGATCGATTTATCGAGATGATCGTTAGTTTTTGGAGCTGATTCTCCATCTCTCTAGTTATTGAATATGCTAGCTTGTCTAAAACTTAATAATAAGGATTAATTGATCAATAAAATAGGAGAAACTCCTTTAAAAAACTTTAACCTTTACGTTCTCAAACTATTATTCTTACTTTTATTGATTTATCGAAATGATCGATAGTTTTTTTAGTCCTTTTCCATCTCTCTCTGTAATAAGTAAATTGAAACTACTTTACCCACAACAGAAGCTCCTCGTTTTCGATTCGGGTTGCTGCCGTCTTGGGCTTTGGTCTGCTAAAAGGGTCTAAGTATATGGTTTAAATCATACTCGTGTCGACGTCAACTTGGCTACATTTTAAATATGCTTCCTTGGCCCTAGATGGCAGGTTGCACAGGGGTTAGTTTCTGTAGCTGAAAGGGGGGCTAAGAGGCTAAAGGGCGGCAGCTCAGTGTGTGGGCGGACATTTGTGGGGCGTTGTTATCGCCAAGTTGGCTGGCAAGCCATTTTCCATTCTAATTTCTAATTATTTCTTCATGTGTGTATGTGTGTGGGAGTGGAGTCGGGTGTTTGGTTGTCTGACCATCTGGGTGGGCCAAATCCTTCCCTGCCCATCCATCCCCCACTCTCTGATGTCTGTCTATGCGAATTAATTAAGTGTTTTCGTGCGCGGCCAAATCCTTCTGCGGTTCGGCTCTGCAAAACTTTTGAGGTCTTTGGAGCGAAGGCATTGGGGGAAAATCAATTATAAATTAAACATTTATTAAAGAAAGCGCACACATTGCCCAGGGGCAACGCAACCACTCCACATCCTTCCACTCAGGCCCCCTTCTAAATCGTCTTACCTTTCGGTTTCTTAGCCAAGCTCCTCAGCCTTGCCTATGCAAATCAGCAGCGGCATAAATAATGCGACATCATTATTTAGACAGAGGTAGGCGAAAGACTCGAATCCCCTTTTCGGATCCGACCAGAACATTTTTGCAGTCAGTCGGCTCAGTCAGCCGGCTATCCATCAATTATGTCTGCAGCTGGGCCATGGGGATGCCTTCGATGTCTTTTGGATTTCGATTGTCTTTGGGAGAAGCGTTTCTTCCGCTCCCCTTTTGATTATGCACATGCATTTCGGATCGTACATCAAACTCGAACGCGAATAAATGTGACGGCCTGTATGCATTCAAAAAAAAAAAACAAAAAACAAAAAAACAAAAAGCCAAAAACGAGAAAAAAAAAGATCAGGAGAATATGCTGATAGATGCCGGGTATAACTGATTTGTGTGTACCCGTATATATCTGAATTGGTAATTTGCTATAAAGCGACTTTAATATGGCACGCAGTTGCTGTGCTTCGTCGTCAGCTCCCCGCCCTCCGGACACACATTTTGCATACTCATCCGCAGTTGGGCAAACGTTTTGAATTACCATAGCTAAGTAGTAGCAACAGCCCCAGACACCGAAAGAAAAAACCCTCAAGATTGGTCGAAAAGATCGGTTTATTTTTTAGTTGGAATATTTCCGGTGGTTCTATTGAGGTGACAGTTGTTGGATCAGTTCCGGAATTCATAGTTGTGTTCGCTAACTCAGTACATACTCCATCGACACTCGGCGAAGGACAATCAAGACCGCTTAGAGACCGCTACCACCACAGTTGCCCTTCCGAGGACGGCCCTCCCGAGACTTAAGTTCACGGACCAGCTCGCATTGTGACGGAATGGCCAAGCAGTTGCACTCAATACGACGAGGAGGGCGGATCTTAGAACGTCGGCACTCAGAGAAGGCGGGGTATGGGGCCTTGACCTTTGTGCACGGCGTGACTCTTCGGGTGAGGGTGCAAAATACGGAACTCCGAACGGGCTTGCAGCCGGGAAGCTTAATCTTGGGACAGGGACCATCGGCAACTGTACACTCAGGCTCCACGCGGCATTCATCCGGCTTGAACGCTTTGCGCTTGCGGCGCGGGATTGGCGGACGAATGCCCTTCTCGAAGCAGCATATCTTCTTGGGCTTGATCTGGATGGGCGGACACTCCACCCAGGTCACCTGGTAATGGCGCTTGGCCTTGTCAGATATCTTGTAATAGCATTGGTCAAATGGAGGGAAACGATCGAAGCAGGGGTCATCGCAGCACTCGTCCGGCAAAGCGACCAGATGATGAAATTGAAACGGATCGTTATCCACCACCTTGCGGTTCTTTGACTCGTAGCGTGGATCTCCGCAGCCATGGAACTTGCCGCAGCCCCCTTCCTTGGCATCACTGCACTTCGGCGATGGATTATGGTCCGGAGTCTTGCCGTATCCACGCACCGACACCATCTTCGTTGCGGCACTTGGAAGAAGGCAGGCCCGTGCTCCCCCCATTAGTACACTGCGCAACATTGACATTTTTAGGGTGCTTCTCAGATTCGTACCGAATAATTACTAATATATTTAAACAACAACGAAAAGAAAAAACTCCGAAACCGAACAAATACCTTTTTTTTGAAAATTCCTAACTAAAATATTTAACCGAAAAAACAATTCAGCTCATGGAGCCGATGTTTAATTTAGAAAAATCTGAGACGAACTGAGCTGTACAGAAAGCAACATCTCCCTGGAGCACTAGAACTCCATTTCAAGGCATGCTTTTTAGGAAAATGTTGTTTTAATTGTCAAGTGTTGTATTATTTCTGGAAAGTTCTTTATGAATTATGGTATTATAGGCTAGAGAAAAACGAGTAAGCTATGGAAATTATCGAACATCTAGTTGGCGTTTGACTTCAGCTCAGACACTAACGTACTGAATAGCTTCAGTCTACGTTCAGTCCTCGGCCTAGTACTTTCTCGGACCTTTTTGGCTCTTTTAAACAAAATTTGTTAAAAAAAAACACAAAAATTTTCAAAATGTTTCAAATGTTGCGTCTGAAGTGTCGCTCGCTGGTGAACCGAAGCATGTTGCCGTGCATAGAGTCTCTGATGAATGCCTGTGCCCAGTTCAAGGGGGACTGGGCTAAGAATACTGGCCTGTTGCGCCAGGGGCAGTTCCCTAGCATCCTCCAACCTATCCAGATGCGGCGCTACAGCAGTGGCAAGAAGGGTAGTGAGCCGCCGGAATGCCCGGAACCAAGGCAGTGCGAATCTGAGAAGAAATCGGCTAACAGCTGCGGTCCTGCCCGCTTCAAGGGCACCATTTGCCAACAGGGTCAAGGCAAGAAGAAAAAGGAGCCCAAGGAAAAGCCCAAGAAGAAGTTGATCACGCCGGACCAACTAAAGATGCAATCGATGTGGTACGTTCCCGGGTGCGAGTATGAGAAAAAGTGTTATGTGCCCGCCCGTCTTGACATCAAGCATTACCGTGTATCGAATAAAGAGGAGCGCGAGTACCAGGTCACCTGGAACGAGTGTCCGCGGCTGCTCATCAAGCCCAGGAAGGTCTGTATCTACCAGAGGAGCTCGAAACCGAAGCGCTGCCGTAGAAAGCGTAAGGTGCCCGCTGCCACGGCCCGTCCATCGTTGCCGATGCTCAACCCGATGGAGTGCAAGAAGGCGGAAAAGCTGGAGTGTCCCCGGTGGGTCCTGCCCTGTTGCAAGCCAGTCCGTAACCCCCCCAGCTGTAAGCTCAACCGCACGATATCCAAGTGCAAGAAGATCAAAGCTCCGTATCCGAGCTTCTCCGAATGCAAGAAGGAGGCACTTAACGAGTCACCACCGGTCGAGTGCCAGTGCTTGCGAATTCCAATGGCTTGCGAGATGTGGGCCGAGTTGCGTCGCCGGATTGCCAGGGGAAAAGATCCTACAATTAAATGCGGTGAGGTCTAGGAGGCGACGACGGAACATTCATAGCAGGCAATGGACAAAGGCTGACAGTTCGATCGGAGTCCCTCTACCGCTCGCACCAAAATTATTTCAAGTTACCTTCCAGAACTATCTATCTCCAAACATAAACAGTGATCTGTGTCAACAAACCTGATCGTCTAATACCATTTCAAAAATTTAACATGCTGCTGAAACCTTTCGGAAAGTATATGCTCAGAAGCCTTATGCCAATCGTTACTACCCGCTGCTCGAGCTCTGGTGACTGCTCTACCCCTTCAAAATGTGATAACACTTCCAAGTCAAAATCCAAAGGAAAGGGAAAACCGGAACGCAGTTGCAAGCGATCTTCCAAAAAGAAAAACTGCTCGAAAGTGCCAACACCATTCCCCAGCTACTCGGAATGCAAGCGGAAGCCAACTGATCCAAAACCATCCAAGGAGTGCGATTGCTGGGATTTCGACAAGTGCTGAATACACCCGGTGCATTGGGAATCTCGCAGGTTGACATTCATTACGCTGCCAAATTTTAAATGAACAGGAACACTGAAGACTGAACAGGACAAAGACTCATTATGTGTATCTTGGCGATGGTAGCGCTGGAAGGCTAGGTGTTGTTTGCGAAGGCGAACAAAAATCAGTTATCTAGCCACCACTTTTATGGCTCCATCCAAGTATAATCTTTTTGAGAAATTAAAGAGCCCAAATGGTTAAAATTGTTTGCTTTTATTTTTGGGGGAACTATTTTCAGGATAATGGATATCGTAGAGATTCCAGTTGCCTTTTCTATTTAAAGTTTTTGTAGGGGCTCCCAAGATTAAGCTTTGTGGTCAAAAATTGACATCAAGAAAAGCTATTTTGTATATATGGTATTTTACGGATGCCAGGATTGTCGCACACGCTTTGTCAAATTTGAAGTAAATTCCACAGACTACTTTGATTATCAAATTCTTCCAAAATTCTCGATAAAACTGTGATTTGTTTCAAAACCCAGCAACCCATGAATTCCACTTCTAAACGTAGATATAGGAAGTTTCTTCCAAATTTTGATTCAGTTCCAAATTTATTCTACACCTATAACAACCAAGTTTCATTTCGCGCTTAGCTTATTTATTTATTTTTTCCTTTCTTTTTTTTTGGAACTTCTGGAATTTAAATATTATTTTTTTGTGAAATCAAAATTCTACAATTCAGTTATGAATTCGTCAAGGGCTTTGGTATGCAATTGCTGCAGGTTCTCCAGTCTGAAATGTACAAGGCCGGTCTTATCGCGGGGCATGAAGCAGCTCCGGATGGACGATATGTACTATAAGCCTGGTAGCTACCGAGAGCGCGTCTACCAACAAACCTGGGCAGAACAGTATATGACGGAGGAGCCGCAAGAGGAGCCAAGTTGTCGCCGCGAGGACAGTGGAAGCGAAAGGAGCCAAAGCCAAAGGACCCAAAATAGGCCTGGGAGCCGGACCGACCGCGAGTATGCCCAGAAAACGCGACAGGAGCACACCTACAGGATGGAGGAGGATGATATGTCGCGCTGGGATGACAACCGCTCACCTAGCAGCACTGGCCCTTCCTCCTCCCAGTCAGCGAGGCGCGGATTCCAGTATGCCACTTCTGCTTCGGAAGCCGTCTCAGATGGCGCAGGCACTGGAGATAGCATCGACTCCAGTACAGCCAATGCCATGATCATGAAGCCTGTGGGTCCTAGACGCCTCCAGAAGATCACAATACCAGCCAGCGAATTCATATCGAAATTTCTTTCGGATCAAAGGAAGAACAAGATGCGACACTACGAGGCAGAGGTGTTCTCCGATCGCATTGGACAGGAGGGATTCTACCTTGTCTGATCAGTCTGCCCCGCATAGCATGATGGCAAAATTAAGCTTAAATTTTTGCACAAAATCGTCGACCAGTTGTTAAATTTTATCTTTACAACCCAAAATTAGTTGCTACATTAGTGCTATTAAATCTATACTGTGAATTAAATGACTACATATATAAAAAAATATTATAATGGCTTGTTCTGAAATTTGGGATCAATAAAGGGGACTATTAATACTTTTTAAAATAACTGATTAGAAATTATATGGTTAATATATAAACAATTAATGAAAAATATAATATTGTATGTATAATATACATCTAAAAATTGGTATAACTAAATAGTTATTTAGCATAGGAAGAGAAGGGAAGCTAATTATATCCTAATGGTTGACAATGGGTTGTCTGTTGTTTTATATAGCAACGTACTACAAGTCATGGTACAATTATATTTTAAATAATTATGTATTGAACAATATTATTGTACCATGCTGCAAGTGGGCTTTTGTAAAACTGTCATTAAATATCTTGACTTTTATCAACTGAAATCCTTTGACAATCAGTTATTTTTCGGACTTCAACCGATGCTCACGATGAAAATTATCTTGTAACTCTATTTTGGCTTTCTTTTTTTTTTCCTATTGATTTCAAAACTTGTACGACTAATAGTTAGTATTGAGCATCGGTTGGTTTGGAATTCTATAACACGGTAGACATGTTTGTGATGAAGAGAACCGTGGGCAATATGCCGTCCATAATATTGTCCTGCAGCGCCTGGTCCAATAAATATATGCGGAATGCTTCTATGTCGAAAAGTGAAGATGACTATCCGATGCTAAAAGTGAGGAAGGATCTGAAGAAGAGAAAGAGCCCGGATCCAACCAAAAGAAACCCCGAAGATATATGCTGGATGGCGATGCGTCGCACCGAGTTCAAGTGTCGCTCCGATCCAGAGTTCAAGGTTCATAGTTTCATCGATGCCGGCAAGCTTTGTCTCGCGGATCCCTGCTTCGATAGATATCCGTCAGCAGATGCCATGTACTATAGGCCTTCCGACAAGTTAAGCCGCAAATATCAAAGGACTTGGAAAGAATGTATTCTCAGTAAGCCCAAGAGAAAGCCCGTGTGTACGCAAAAGCCCATCGTGTTTAAACGGCGACCCCGTAAAACCATGACATCGGGGTCATGTGCTACCTCTGCGTCGGGCAGCCGGGACTTGGGGCTGGCAGATTGTAAAAAAAAGGAAATTCGGTCCTGCCCCAAGGTCCGGCTGCCCTTCTGCAAGCCAGCCCTATCCGGTAAATGTTACCCTGGACGATCAATGTCGAAGTGCATCAGGCGTCGGACCAAGTACCCCTGCTTCTCGGACTGCGACAAAGAAAAAAGTCCAGATGCGAAACGCGTCGAATGCTTCTGCATTCAGCCTGCACCCTCCATGTGCGAGGTATGGAATCATTTTAGAATGAGAAAGTCGTAGATTGTCCCCCGTGATCGACTCAGTTTAGGGTCTTGTACTTGAAAATCTGTACCACTATAAATCCAAAATTCTTTCTTAAATAAAAAAAAACAGCAAACAGCTCTATTCTATAATATGGTTGATGGACAGGGGTCCCTTTGCTGACGTGTCAGATCTCCAGCAACTAGTTTTAATTTTATTTTCCACACTTTCGGTCAAGACCTGCCAAAATTTTAACATCATGTTCACCAGAAAGCTTCGCCTCCATCCGGTTCAGATCCATACCCTCTTCAGAAGCAGCAGGAGCCTGTACAATTGGGGCAACTACGATGCCAGCTCGGGCGAATGTTGCAAGGTGCGTGAAAAGGAGATAGCCTCCTGCATGACAGGAAAAGGTGTATGTCCTTGGCCGACGCAGGAAAACAAGTGTGTTGGCAGGAGTCTCTCAGCAAACTTTTTGGAGAAGGAATATCCCCAACGCCTCAAAGAAATCTACTCGCGGAGCAAAGGCGAGCCGGAGTGCGACTTAATAAAGCATGATGCAACACTTTACAAGCCGTCGGACAAGAGTCGTCGCTACCAACGCACCTGGGCCGAGTGTCCACTTATTTGGCTGCGTCCCAAGCCCTACTGCTGCCCGGATCCCGAGTATTATCCCGCGGGGAAGCGGCGACCGCACCCCCCGGCCGAGGCTCTTCCCACGGCCATCGAAAAGCACCTCCATCAAATGTCCCTCCTCTGCAAGGCCACTCTTATGGGGCCAGGCTGCCGACCAGGTCGTACTCCGCCCAGATGCTTTATAATTCGCAGGCCCACCAACTGTCAGAAGAAGGTCACCCCGATGCCCAGCTTCTCGGAGGCCTGCCGGCACCTGATGCCCAAAGACTGCCCCACCGAGTGCTTCTGTGGGGCACCGGCCAGCATGTGCGACGCCTGGACCGCTTACCACGAACGGGGTAGACTTAGAAAAGTCTGCAGTAGGCCCTTTATAGGGTTCACTCCCTTCAGACCCCGCATGCGCTTCCCATGGTAATGGAACTTGGCAAAGGAGATGGTTATGGAGAATCCCATCTGCTCACCATTGAGTAGGACTTCTTGGACTTGGCATTTAGGATAGATGCTCCGAGGCCTTCTATGAAAACCCCTGAGTTTTTAATTTTTTTTTTTCTGGTTTCTATTCAAAATTTGCTCCCAAATTATGAAGCTGCAGTCAGCCCTCCGCCTTATCTGCAGGCCAGTATGCAGGGGTCTAGCCTGCAAGGTGCCTTCCTTTCCTGATCCGCCATGCATCGATGCAGATCCCATGTGCCATCATGTGACCACGAGTGGCTGCCCAGGGGCCAGAAATGTGATAAACCGCGAGCTGCCGCGTGAGAAGTTCCTCGACAACTACGAAAAGTTGGTGGAGAAGTGCTGTATTTTGCGATCGGCCCACCGAGATCCATGCGCTGGTCAGAGGAGAAGGGAAAAGATTCCCAAAGAGCCGGAAGAACCCTTCCGATCGATGTGGGAGCCACCGTGCCGCACTGATCAGCAACCTTACTGTACGGATATGCTTCCGCGGTTCGATGCCATCTACTACACGCCGTCGAACAAGTGCCGGTGCTACCAGCGCACCTGGGTGGAGTGTCCGCCGCTGCGCCAGCGCATAAAAAAGGTGTGCTGCTTGGACGGCATAAAGCCGCCAGAGGTTCTCTACCGCATCAAGGAGGAGTGCCCCAAAACAGCATGCGAGCAGGACTACCAAAGGCTTAAAAGACTTTGCTCCGATGTGCACTACGATCAGGATCCAGCAGGCAAGTGTACCAAGACTTTCTGGCCCTGTTGCAGGCCGGCGCGTTGCGAAGTGCACTGTAGGGGTATAAAGCGCTCTTCCGGCTGCACCAAGCTGCGCACCCCCTATCCCTCGTTCTCGGAGCTGCGCCGAAGGTGGGCCCGCCCACGCCGACCCACTGAATGCTTCTGTCCCAAGCCCATTCCCCTGTGTGTGGCCCTCAGAGCGGGCAAGAGGATGGAGATCCTGAAGCTAAAGCATGTCTAGCCGGAGACCCAAATTCCAGCATAACTTTTGACTTCCTGGGCAAGACCGTAAAGACTAGTTGTCGTTACTGTCTTGCCCAGAAAGTCATGACTTAAAACTCAAAATTATAGCATTCCAGTTATTAGAATCCATTGAACATTAAAATACTTATTTTCAACTCTTATGATATTGTTATTTTTCAAGGATCGTACCACTTGGATTATTTTTCTCAGCGGTAAGTCAATATTTCTAAAAATTCCATAGCTATGGCCTTGCCATTAATTTCACACAACCCCACCCGTTCCGATTTACTTATTCCGGCGTGCAACTTTTTTTTTTATCAACCAAATAGCTTCCAAATCAAACGTTTTCATTCAAACAAACCAGAGAAAGCATTTAGAGAGCAGAAGAAGACACCAGCGACAGTTCGAGAGGATCGACAATGGCTGCCTCCGTTTTGGCCACAATTTGTGCCGAGCGCCTCACTAAACTGCTGGTCCGATACGCGCGTGCCCAGCCGCCGGTGGTACGCAACCACTCGCAGTGCGCCGCCCGGGTACTGAATCCCCTGCCCAAGTCCGAGGCCACCATGGCCTACCTGAAGCCGCTGACCACCGCCACCCAGGGCAAGAAATTGGCGGCACCCGCCGGCGAGTCCAGATTCGTCGGCAGATGGCATCAGTTGGGCGGCATCAATACCGGCATTGGCAATCGGTTCCAGCGCGGACGCAAGGCGGCACTTGGCTCCCCGTCCTGCCTTCCCATCCTGGGCTCCGGTAGCGGGACGAGACGTGTCCGAGGGAGCTTTCCGTCGAATACCGACACATCGATCGGCCTGGGGGATTGGAGAGATCAGAGGTCTACCCACTACCGACCATCATTGGTCAGCCTCTTTAAGAACCAGAGTACCCAGAACGCTCCCAGGAAACCCTTCGGACCGAACGCCCCTACATTCGATGGCCAAAAGCTGTATAGGGACTGCTACTAACTGGACACTAGTGGGTCCTCCTGATACTGCTGCCAAACTCAGGTGCAGCTCAGTCACAAATCTTTCAATGTGATTTGTGGCAGAGTTGCAAATGAGTGGGGCAGCAGTTATCCGAGTTGGGACCAGTTATCAATGTATTAAATATGTTTCGTGTCAAAAGATCATGGATTTTTTATATCAGGGCTTAATAAGCTATTGAGTAGCCGAAATAGATACGTAATGACAGCATAACCTTTTCAAGACATCTCAGATTTTAAACACTACTCTCTCGGCTTACGTTTTGGAAATAAATCTCTACGAGAAGGAGACCAAATTCAAAATCTCCAGCCATGTTTAGCTATCTCAGCTCAGTGAGCAAGAGGCTTCTGCAGCCACGGTCCCTCCCGGCACTCGTTGTTCCGGTAAAGGACATTTGTACCAGCCAGGCCTTTTTCAAAAAGGACAAGACCGACTACCGGAAGCCGATTGACTGTCCGGCGTCCAGGGACAAACAATGCAAGAATCAGAAGGGGCCTCCGTGCAGTCCTACGGATCCTCCCGTGCAATCGTGCAACGAGAGCTACTGCAAGAAGCCCCGATATCCTTGCTGCGTGAATACGCGCATCTCGAAGAGCCCCTGCGAGAAGTCCGGCCGCAGCAAGGACTTCAAGCCAAGGCCCGATCCCTTCGTCTCCATGTGGGAGAGCTACAAGGATGTGAAGGATAAGCGACCCGAGTACTTGTGGCACTACCCAGAGCACTGCTGTCCCAAGTGCGAGGACGTGCGATTCGACGTCCTCTACTACAAGCCCTCGGACAAGTGTCGCACCTACCAGCGCACCTGGTGGGAGTGCTGTCCCCGGATGGTGCCCAAGCGGGTGTGCTGCTGGTGCGACGCCGTGCCGCCGCAGGTCCTGCGCCGCAACCTGCCGATCTGCCCGCGTTCCGCTTGCAGCATGGATCAGGAGAAGAGTCGCATGGATTGCATAAATCGCAAGGCCAAGGGATGTCAGCGACTTCAAATGCCCTGCTGCCGCGCGGCTCGGATTCCCCCATCCTGCCACATCGTCCGAGTTTCATCCGGCTGCAAGAAGATCAAGTGTCCGTTTCCCAGCTTCTCCGAGTGCGTGCAGGAGGACCGAGCCGTCATCCCAGAGCGTCCGCCCGAGTGCAGATGCAGACAAATGCCCCTCATGTGCGAAAGGTTTTCCCACGCCGCCCATATGGCCAAGCATGGAATCGCCCTCTGCCCCTGTCCCAAGTGTCCCCAGGCTTCTCAAGAATTCGATTAATGCCAACTGTGAAGAGTCCTCTGATTTGATTCTTAAAGCAAAGGACTTTGCACAGTCCCCGGAAAACTTGTAATCACCGGAAGCCAATATTACCACTTATGATATGGTCTCCCGGTGATTGCAGATTTTCTCCAAATCACAGCAGTCTTGGATATTTGGAGCCCATTTCAGATATGTAACTCACTACGAAAACATTTGAACTAACTTCCGGAACACCAAGCTAAACAAAAAAAAATACAAAATTCAAAGATGTCTCGTCTAACGGCTGTCGGAAGGATGTCGCGATTTGTTTCCGGATCGCTCCGCTTCAGGACTTTGCATATTATTCGCTGGCGGTCGGATGACTCCGATAAAGCATCACGATCCAGCTCTCGTAGTGGAAACCGAAGACGCGGAAAATTCAATGTCGATAGCTTCGATCTATTCGTCCATACGGATCTGAATTCAAAAGAAACTACTAATCCTGATGTCCCTGATGGAAACGACGAGGATATGACGGCCACATGGAACTTTAAAGCCAACACCCTAGACGAAAATGCCCAAGCCAATGAATCTGAAGTGGGTTTGTACCAATTTGCCGAGAATTCCATTCCCAAGCAAGAGGATTCTCTCAGCCAGCCCCTGCGGTCTTTACGGAATCGTCTGGCCGAACAAGTCAATTCGAACGAACCGGATCCTCAGTTTATCGCCCACGTCCATGAGAACTTGAACGAAATGATTAAAGAAATACGCGAGATATCTGATCTTCTGAGAACCCTGGAGGCATCGGACAATCCTGCGATTGCTAACCTAAACAGTAAGCCCTATTATGTGGGGCCTGAGAGTGCTTCATGGGGTTTTCTTCATCCACAAAAAGGATCAGGGCCTGTTGAATCGGAAACCTGTTCATTAAAAGACCTCTTAGAGGAATATAATTCTGAGGACGCAGAAATTGGGAAGGTTTTTCAAACACATGAGGTTATAAATCTTTTGAAAAAGCTGCCTGTCTTTAGAGAGTTGGAGGAAGCTAAACGCCTGGAAGCCGAGGAAGACGATTTCCAAGATTCTACATCTGAAGTTTATGAAATAACCGATGAAGACGCTGACCCTCTTATTGAGGATTTTAAAACTCCCTCAATCTCCGCGTACGAAATGGACCAGGAATCGTGTCTACTTGAACATGATCCGGGTGTTGGCAAAAGGCAGGCGGTTTGCACCTCAGAGGCCAGATCTCTCGAGTCTTCGGATGATAAATCGAAGTATCCTCCCGCAAAACAGAATCGTCAGATAACCAAGAAGGCCGGCCACCAAAATCAGAAGAAACCTAAAGAAGAAATCCATACTTACAGACCATTCAAGACCATCATAGTGCCAGTGGATGAGCCAAAACGCAGTATTAGCTTCAAGGCCTACAACCAAGAAGCCACTATAAAAGGCTCTGACACTATTGTGGATGAAGTGAATCCGTTTATGGACGAAAGTTACAACGTTTGGGCGGAACTTCCGGAGGCCGAGTCGCGGTATTTAATGAGATTGGCTTTGAGGCAGGCCTTAAACAATTTAGAGGAAGGAAATAACCAATATGTGGCTACCATTCTAATGGCCAAGCCAACTGAAAGTACTTGAACTATTATTGATCTAAAAGCTGTCCTCCCTAAAGTTTTGCAGTCTGCCTGGTAACTTCTTAATAAAACCTGAAAAGGTTTTAAAAAAATATTAATGCCGTATATGAGTAATACCCTCCACCCTATTGAGACATTAAAATAATTCAAATGATTCCAATTTGTTTGCTTTTCTTCCAAAGAGGTCTTCCATTTAATGGAAACTCCGGGGAATTTTAGTTGTAAAGCCATTTGGCTATAGCGGTCATCCAGTCAAGTCGTCGAAATGTATAACTAGATTTAGAATTTATTTTTTTTTTTTTTGGGCGCCTTTCTTTGGTTTCTTGCGGTCTTTCTTGCTTTTCCTACATATATCCCTTATGGCATCCTTGGTCGATTTATTCTTCCGTTTTCCGTGCTTGCCCTTTTTCCCCTTCTTGGCTTCTTTGGCCAGCCTCTCCTTGTACTTCCTGATCGCGGCAGGACACACATGGTTCTCTCCATACTTCAGAGCGTACACGCGACCACGTTCCACCTCGCACAGACTAATGGCCCGCTTGCACTCGCACTCGAGCGGACGGCTTGGTTTCTTGGCCAGCGGAGGCTTCTTGCACTCGGACCAGGAGGGCACGGGAGCGCACAGCTTGCGGCAGCAAGAGGGCGTCTTGGCCTTGAAGCATGACGGGGGCTTACGGCCCTTTATGCAGCGGGCCAGCTGCGCCAGATGGGGGCAGCATCCAGATAGATTCGACTGGCCCACGACACGTTCGCGCCGAGGATCAGAGCGACGGGCCGGGGAGAGGGCCTCCAGCTTGTCGTAGGCGCAGACCTTCTTCACGCGCATCATAAACTGCGGGCACTCCACCCAGTGCCGCGGGTATTGCCTGTCCTTGCACGAGGGCCAGTAGTAGAGCTCATCGAACGAGGGCAGCGGCTTGGTGCAGTTGGGTTCGCAGCAGAGCTCATTGGAGCGTCTGACCACGAAGGGATACGGCTTGCGGCGGTTCTTCGGGGGCTCCCACATGGAGACGAACTTTTCGGACTCGGCGCAGTACGCAGCTGGATTGCACATCGTCCGAGTCTTGCACTCGACCTTTTTCTTTGGTGGCTTCTTTGGTCCCGGCGGCTTTGGCGGAAAACCAGATCCCGGTGGCTTTGGCGCATCACTGGATCCCGATGGCTTCTTTGGTGGACCACCAGATCCCGATGCCGAGGAGTTCTGTCGCCTGGTGAAGGCTTTGCTGAGGGTAGCCCAAAACATTTCCAAAAAGCTCGTCTTTAATTTTTTACCAGAATTTTTCAATTAAAATTTTCCAATTTTTTTGTGTTTTTTGTTTTTGAGTGGAGGGTGCTAATACTGTTTTTTCTGATAAAAACTAAAAGTCTGACATCTGATCCAAGGACTGTTTAAAATCTGTCGATTCGGAAGAGGGTCCTGTCACCGGCCCATTCACTTCGGTTGCAACTCACTTTTCGGCCGAGATGGCGGAGCGACAGGCGAACAGCGGACTGCGCATGTTTAAATTTAATTGAACATTTAGCCAAATTAAAATGCATTTTATTACGCAGCCCCGGCCGTCGCTTTTGTGGCCTGGAAATGCAAAACAACGCGCGCCCAATCAGCCAGGCCAAGTCAAGTAAAGTCAGCGGAGTCAGCCGGGCCCCGAAAAATAGTTGGAGGTAAAGATACACTTGAAAATATCTAAGAATCTGAAGCACTAGCTTATTATAGGATTATTGTTTATTATTTCACAGATTAATCTAGGAAAAAATAATATATTTATATAATTTAATAAGTAATAATATTATTTTTTATATTTTTTCTCACTGCATTTACTAAGACAAAGTCAAAAGCCAAAATTGTTGACTGGGCCTAGGCACGCAACGGTTATTCGGCTTGGAATTGCTGGCAGAGCTTATGCGAAATTTGGCACAGATTTGCCGGGCAGATTCGAAGTATTTTTCGGTTCAATTCAATTCGATTTGAGGCGGAACTGCGAACTGTGAGGACAAGCCGCTGGCAACTAGAAAACTGGTTGGTTGGTTGGAGGAGAGACAGGCTAGAGGCCCGGGCTCAGGCTCGGGCCTAACTAACATGCGTTCTGCAATTGTTTAATAGCCTAATTAAAATGTGCGAGGGAACAGGTTGGCCGGTTGGTCCGGGAAAGTCGGGCATATGCAAACCAAAAGAGACGGATGGACGTTCAAGGAAAGAGAAAGAAAGCCTGTCATGTAGCGCCAAGTGACGTGATGTGACGAGACAGTGAATGCCATGCGGGTGGTTTGTCAGCTGCTAATGCCAGGCAGCCAGTACTCCTACCAAGAGTTGCTACGAGGTATATGGAAAGTTAGCACAACCGAGTCGAAAGTTTAAACAATCAATTGAAAATCCTTAGAGTTGTGTAGTATTTCTATCAGAAATAACACAAATATCTTCAAAGAAAGTAGTTAACAAACTGGAACTATAATAACTACCGGGTATTCATTATTCGATTCTCTGTTATTGAAAACTTTCTCTTGTTTTTTTTTTTTTTGTGTCCTTCTTGTTCTGGCTCGCAATTACATTTGGCTGTTAATTGCATTATGCATATTTATGGAAGCGCTCCGGCTGCAGCTCCGGCAATCGAGTTAGAGCCGTAGTGTGAGGGAGGGACATAGCCGGAACCGGAGCCGGAGTCGGCGACAATGCCGGCTCATTAGCATACATCAGCGCGTTAAGCTCGAAGCGAGTGTCTGACTGAGTTACGAGCAGCTTTCCACTGTCTGCAGCAGCCATCATCCACTGAGTACTGAGTGGCTTAGTGGGTGTTGCCCTCTAATTTAAATTAAAATATGAAAAATACTCGGGTATGAGGAAAAAGGGTTTTGATGTCCGCCTGGCAGGGGGCCACAGGACACAAACATCTGCAGGAAAAACTTAAAAAAAAAAACATGCAGGAAAATCAAATCTAAAATAGCTGCTGGACATGGCATAATTAAATTGGTTGCACTGCCATGATTTTAATGGAAATTATACAAGATTCCTACTAATACTATTAAAGATAAAATCGTGTGCACTATTTTCTATATTTTATTAAAGCCACTTATATATCAGATATTCTTGACCCAACTGGCTCTCATCGTGCCACATTCCAATTTCTCTTTGTCTCAGTCTTAAGCTGGAGGTTTCTCTCCTGCCAACTACAATGTCCTCTCAGCCAAGTTTTGTGTGGCTCAAAAGAGTGCGTGGGCTACCCAGAATTTGTGGCAGAGAAAGCCAGGAGTAATTTCTGGGCGCCTGTTCGATTTTTAGGCTCCAGCGAGAGAAAGAGAAAAGCCAGGAAAGGGGGAAGTCAGAGCCTGAGACCGGGAAGCTAAAGTTTCTGAGCACGCGAGCGTAATTCGCACAAAATGGCCATAATAAATAAATATGCCATTAACCCGCATACTAACTCCTTCCAAAATTGCACTCTGCACATGCAAAAACACCAGGAGAAATATGAAATGGCATAAGCCAGCGAAGAAAAACTTTCTAATCGCAATATAATTGCTGACGGCCAACAAAAAATAAACCAAATTAAGAAAGGTGCATTAGTGGCCAGGTAGGCTAGTAGCTTGCATTAAATTATGCTGCCAAGATACTACAGTAATGCAGGTGGAGATCATAAGTCATACAAAGTTGAGACCAATGCACGATTGGGAAAGACGGCTAATCAGTTGGTTAACACCCGGCGACAAATGGCGACTAAGTTAAGTGCTCGGCTATATTAGGCCATAAGCCAATCGGCCGTCAATATAAATTCACAGCTAGCATATGAAATTTACGGCAATGACACTATCCACGACATTAGCATAATTAAGCCAAGTCAAGTCGAGTAAAGTGAAGTGAAGGCAAGGGTTTTCAATCAGATTTGGCTTCTTAATCAGCGATTGATCCTGCTCCTCATTTTAAAAGTCTATCAGTGATCAGTAAACGAAATGCCAATTAGGCCGACCCTAATTCTTACCAGTCCCACCCAATTAGGCCGAGAAGGATGAGAACCGGATCGATCGCGGTTGCAAAAATACAGGGGGGATATATCATTTAATTGAAATAATTATACATTAAGTGCATTAATTATATTCCGTGGCATGCATGCAACAAGGACGACTCCCAGTCGCTGTTGGTGCCTCGTGGCCTGCGCCTTTTGCCTTTTTCGCGTAATTATTAATTTAAACCATTCGACGACTCCGCTGGGTATCGTAGGCTATTACGAGCTGCAACACACCAACAGCAACACAAACAGCAACATCGCAACAGGAACAACAAAACTCACACCAAACAGTCAAGCAACCTCGTGCACGACAGCAACTTGCAACTCGTTTTGTTGCTGCCGTTAGCTTAGGTCATAATTATTAACGCAAAATCATAATTAAAAATGTATTTAGCCGGACTTTGAAATATGCTCTGGCCGCCCCTGAAGGCGACTCGTAATTAGCCGGAATATGACGGGACTATGTCGGGTAATGTTGGGGGTGTTTGTTCGTGTTTTGGCCAGAAGGGTTGCAACTACGAATGAAGGAAAAAAAAATAACACGTTTCTAGTGAACTGGTATCTGAAAAATTTAGTTCTAAAGATATAGGAAATCCATAAAAAAAAATATAAACTTAAAACCTCTCTCTCCTCTAGTTCATGCAACATATGCTCATAATGAAATTTTATTCACAAAAGGCACTCTGACATGAGTCTCCTGTTTGCCGTTAGTGCAACTACTGCCTTCTAAACTAATTAAAACATACAATACCCAAATTAATTACTAAAACAGGTTAAGTTGGGCGCATAATAGCCATCTATCCAGCAACTGCTGGTGCTGCTGCTGCTGTTGCTCCTCTACCGTATTGATGTTGCTGTCTACGGTGACGATGTTGCTCCTGGTCCTGAACCAGCACCTGCCGTACCGTACCCTGCCGCTACGTAGCTGTTGTTCTTGGCGCTTGAATAATTATTGCAGTCAACTACTGTTGGGTTCGGGTATCAACCGGCTTTCGGGTCCCTCTTTGCACGTCAATTGTTTCATTAGTTACCCTCAGACGAGCTTGTTTGGCGGACAACCCGGCGGATGTGTAATATACATGCCCATGGCAGGAGTGCGATGGCTGGGGGAGTGGCGGGGGCGGTATGCAAATAAAGTACTGAATATATTTACTAATAACTATTTTACCTTAGCGACATGTGTCGCACTCGCCGACAGAACCACATTTCCGTTGTCCTTTTCGGCCAAAAGTTTTGCGTCAATGTTTTTGGCTCGAACCGTTCCGCCCCCGGTTTCATTTTTTTTTACTCGAACTGTGTCGCATATGTCAGCTGCGACACTCATAATTTATTGATGCACATAAACTTCACTTAATTGGCACTGCCAATAACAAAGCAACAACACAAAGCCAACTAACGATGACACCAACAAACTTTTGAAAAGTCCTTTGGTTCGCCCTTCTCGGTTTTTGCACATACACATTAGTGGCAATTAGGGAGCTGACTAATTACTCTCAAAAGTCACTGGTTTAATAAATTGTATGTTTTTTTTAAATATTTTAATTTTTTTCAATACATTAGAGGTTGATCCTTTCTTCGCCTGGCCAACTATCCAGCCACGAAAGCAACTCATTAAACAAACAAAATCGGAGAGAAAACTTGTTCGCCATTGCCATTGTTATTTCTATTTTTATTATCTGTGCCACACCCAATCCATAGACTAGAAAATTATGCATTTTTCTTGGAAATTTTCTATGCCATCTGCGGTATGGATCTGAGTTGGTCTACGACCCCCCACCACCCAGTAACCTGCACCCGGCACCTTCTCCCGCCTGCTCCGCCCACGGAGCTCATAATAAACGAATTAGCGCCTTTGGCTAAATGGAAGTAGAATGCAATTTCATTGCAATTATCAAGTAGAGGAGAGGCACCCCCACCCCCAACCACTACTCCCTAGCCCTCCTTTGCATGGCTGGGCTAAATAAACAAAACGGGCCAAGAGCCTGGCTCGGACTTGGACTTGGCTTAGACTTGCCATTGGACTTGGCCCCACAATGAGCACATAAAAAAATTAATGCTCTCCCGCTTGGTTCGGGCCATAAAGGTATGTCTGCTCATGGCCAATTTCTTTTGGGGCCAAAACGCAATGCTAACAAATAGAAAAATTATCGCAATTGTGGCATCTTTTTTATGTTTTTGGTTTTCCAAGCTTGTTTTGTGGATTTTTTCCTTAAGCCAAGGCGAATGTGCATTTAATTTGTGACGCATTCAGGGAAATGCACTTAGAGAAAAATAAATTCAATTAAAGGGAAAATAATAAGAAGCTAAAAGAAAGGAGAAACCTGGTATGAACCTTTAGGATACCAATCCTAAGCTATCTCATAAAAATTGTTGTTGGTTGGTGGTTTACTTTAATTTTGGAAATATTTTTTATCTCTTATTTTATTTCTTAATTTTCTATCTGTGCGGCCTGAATTTTCCCGCTGATGCATAAAACATCGACAATGCGACGCGAAACGAACTGGCCAGGCCAATTCAAAAGCCAAAAACCGATACCCGCTCATCTCTTGGGGCCGCAAAAGAAGCGCAAAATAAATGCCAAAACCAAGAGCAAAGGCAACAGCAACAGCAACAGCCAAGCTACATACAACATCAATTGCAAAAACAACAAAAATAACAGCGAGTGGTAACAATAACACAAGCAACAAATATTATGCCTTTTGGCAACGTTTTTCATACTCCGGACTCAACGACTTCCAGCAGGCAAGTCGAAGCCACGAACTCCGAGCCGGAGTTGTACTCTTACAAACATGGTCATAATCACGCGTTAAATTAATGAGTTTAAATGCTATTTTTGGCTTTAACTATTGCTGGCTCACACAAACACACAACCACAACACATACTAGCCAGGGTTTAATTGAAGCCAAGTTGAGGCAGCCACACAGCGTCTGTGGAGTGTCTCGGTTTCGAGTTCGATCTGGCGACTTGGCCTGCAGCTTCCTCCTAGTCTCCCCTCGCAAATTATGAAAGGCCCCTGTCCCAGCTCTTTTTTAGCCAAGTTCAGGCTCAGGCTCAGGCCGAGGCTCAGGCTCAGGTATGGACCAACCGGCTCGAAGCTAGGAGATCGGTGGCGGCGGCGGCGGCTATATTAAATTTATTTTAATGCCAAACTCCAGCCTGGGCTTGAGCTTTCCGCTCATATGGCCAGTGGGCATGGTTTCTATATTTTCTCCCATGGCGGCCTTTCTGGTCCCGGCAACTGGCCCAAATCGCGTTTCGCTAATTATTTGGCCAGTTTATCTCCCCGCCAGTCGGGATGGCATCGATAGTTCGGGGTCAGTCCTGATCTGTACCAGTTTTTTTGGATCCCCATCTGGCATATGACTAAGGAAAAGGTCAAAAGACGGGATCCTGTGATTCATAGGTGCATCTATTCTTGCAGATGCACATGCAGATGCATCTGTGAGTCATCGATTTTTAGTATTTACATGGCATTATCACGCAATAGAAATTACCTTATTATTTGTTGATATTTAAAACCACAAGCTGGATCTACATACGCTAACAACCAGTCCATGTTGTTGTCGGCACAACGTCAGAAACATTGTTAATAATTTTTTAATACCACCATAATTAAGATGAAGGCAATTTGCCATTTGCAGTTTATTATTTTTTCGCTCGGTTTTTGCGTAAATGAAATTAAGGCAAGGCTTGGTGGCAAGAGCCAGGAGAGGGTTAAGCAGTTAAAGCCGGGCCAACGTCAGAGACAACGTCAAAATCAACTTGCCATATACTTATTACATTGCGTCGACTTGGTCCGATAATTATTGGCATTACGTGGACTTGCAATATAATTAATTTATACTTAAACTCACTGACAATTTCAATGTTGCATGCAGCTGCTGGCGCAGCAGACGAAAGCCGCAAACAACAAGCTCGACACACAAATTGCTTTGTAATTTATTTGCAATTAATTTTGAATTAATATCAACGAAAAACGAACGAACCAAAATGTCTGCCGAGGAATTTGGGTCTTGTCTTGGGGTTTTGTGGGTTTATTTTCTTCCACACACAAAAAAACAGAAGACTGGACAATGGAGTGCAGGGTGCAGTTTATGGGGGCACTTTAAACACTGAGAAGGTATAATGTGTGAAAAGTTTTTCTTACCACGCATCTAAAATTTGGCCGCATACGAAGATCTCAGGGCCCGCTAAGAGGCCCTGGCCATTTATCAATGCATCTACCATTTAAATTACCCTGCCCCACCCCGTTTTTGGTGCCGACAATGGGCCATCTTTGGCTCATTTGCAGTCAATTTAGCGCTCACGTGGTTAGTCATAAAAATTTTTGCACAAAACATTCATTTAATAAGCAATTATTGCCTGCTCCTCTTTAATATTTTTTTTTTGCTGCCGCTGGTGGCTTTCCGTTCTTGCTTATGCTGTTGTTGTGTGTTGCACTTACGCGTCAAGACTTTCAACTAATTACAAACGATTTACATGCAACACAGCTGGGAGTACGATAACCAGGGCCAAGAACACTGCCAAGCGAGAACAAGAACAAGAACCAGGCCAGGCCAGGCCTTCCATCGAAACGGAGCTGAGAGGCCGTGGCAGTATGGATAATCCCGCTTAAATATTTGCAACATTTAAAGTAAAATGCAGAAACCGGTTGCCATAAAAACTTCATCATCAGCATAGGCCTCGTCATCATCGCGATGACACTGCACCAGAAAACGAGAAAATAAAAAAGGTGGAAAAAAACACCCACAAGAGTCAAATCCGTTTGGCACGCACGTACTAGAACTCCATCGCCGCCGCGGAGGTTCATTGCGCATGCGCGGCTTGTTTTCCACCCAGAAGGAGTACTCCGTGTACAGCTTGTGATCCGCTTATAATTAGTAAGCCTCAAATTAGAGTGGACGACTTTCACCAGCTGAGCTGTGTATGTGCTGCAAATGCTGCAAAAGGCCAAAAGGCTTGGCCACAGGCTGATACTCATTAGAGGCCTATGAGTCACCCAGCGGGTTGGCGGCTATCTAGGCCTTCAAGACACCGCCGTCTCTTGGCCAAAAAAAAAAAAAACTAAAAACAAAACTGGACACAGCTGCGTAGTCAGCTTAGGCCTCATAATTAGATGTAATATATTTACTTTCAGTGAGGGTATGAGGGTATTGGAGACTTTAAAATGTAGCACCAGGAGTATCACCAATCTCCTTTAAAATCTACCAGTTAGTGTATCAGTTAGTCTTGTTAATTTGGTCAAGACACATTAATTTTTTAAAATGCTTTGTACTTATAACTTTATTTTTTCCACTGGCCTCTAATTCGATTTTTATTGCACCTGGATTTTCTTGTTTGGTGCTGCCAATAGACAATTTATTTTCCAATACGTTTATTTTTCCTCAATCTGTGAAGCTGGAGTGTGTGTGTGCTGATTATTTCGCGCTTATTATTTGCTGCCTTTGAGCTTGTGCTTTTTTCCTTTAGATACATTTTTTTTTTGTTTTTTGCTTAATTTTCAATAAATGTTGCGGCTTTGTTGCCGCTTGTCTCGACGTCGCAGTCGATTACTCATTTGACTGCAAGCACATAAATTAAATGCACCTTTTTCTATTTTGTCTATTTTTTCCTTTTTATATTTTGATTGCTTTATTTTTTTATTAATTGCTTTTTACAGCATTTTGTTAGTGGCTGGCAGCGGAGGAGGAGGAGGAGGTGGCATGTAAGTGTTTCTATAAGACAGAGTGTGCGTGCTGTATCGTGTGAGCTGATTGTGTCATTAGAGGGGATCGTATCCAGCGGATACGAGGACCAAGACAGAGACAAAGCGGCCAAAATGCCACAAAATGCGGTCGAAGAGATACTCGAGACTGCGCAGCGAATTGATTTGGCATTAGAATTGGGTCACCAATCGGCAAGCGATTGATTTAATTGGGAATTTAAATGGAAAATTATCAAATAATTCCATAGGCATGCATTTCTGGAGCTGTCGTCAGTTGTTTATGGGGACTGTGCCAGCCCTTTTCGGATTTATTTTCATTTTGCTTGACACACTTTTTAGTTTGAAACGAACAAAAGATAAACAAGCTGATCCCTTATTTTGCTAAATCATAACTTAGGCATTTTTACGGCCAACGACAATAATCGCCCAAAGACCCATTGGCGGACAAGAATTAGAACCCGCAGTGATCAGCAGATTGTTTCTGGTTCTTGCTGCTTCGCAGGCTAACTATGTGCCACAAGGCAACAAGCAAACCAAAAAAAAAAAAGCTTTATTTTTTTTTTATAAAAGAAACAAAAACACAAACAGAACCAAGCTGCGAACCGACGAGGACATGCGAAATTTTTATTTATTGCTGACAATTGCACAAAAGTCTCTTTTTTTCCCTTCTGTGATCGGTTTTTTATGGTCATTAAAATTGGGACAGAAATATTTTGACCGCGCTCGGAATTGAGGTTTTATTCTTTTATTCTTGCTGGCCGTTTTGTTGTTTACCGATTCTAGAGCACGACTGAGCAACGGCCCGGGGCACTATAGCGGCGGCGGTGTTGCCCTTGATTGGCGTTGTTGCAACATTCTGCGGCTTGCTGGCCGATCTAACTGATTAGGCCGGTCCAAGAGCTGCGACTAATTAATGATCCGTTGCCCGAGAGCTTGAGAGCATGCTAATTAAACTCAACCAAGAAATCACAATTCAGCAACGTGAGGGTGGCACGTGAGTCACGAGGACACCATGTCCGTCCGCAGCGAGACCAGAGGTTAATATACCTTCAACACCAAAGACAAGCTTACTCGACGGGTTATGCTTATTACAGGTAGACGTGTCACGCAAGCTAATCACAAAGGTGTTATTTATTTAATTCTGAAGGAACAGATACAGTCAGAATAATAGCAATGGCTTTTAAAAATTCTTAAAAAGATGCAATATCTTATGGGAATAGTTGCAATATTGTTTGAACTCTCAGATTAGTTTCTCTTAAAAATACTATTATTTTGACCGCGTCTGTCCCCCACTGATCTGCAGTTGCTCATACGATATGGGAAATAATCAGATTCAGCATTTCTGTGCGACTCACCGACTCGGTTTTGATGTTGAGCGCCAACACATGCGACGAGCTGTTGGAGGAGGCCGACGGCGGCGAAGCTGGAGCTGCTCCACTGCAGGGCGACTTGGCGGCCGCGGCGGCGGCTCCCAGGGGCGACCGGCTGCTGGGCAGCGGACTGGCCTCGCGCAGCGGACTCGGGCTGGCACCCGCACCCGCTCCGATGCCCATGCCCAGGCCCAGGCCCATGCCGAGGCCGAGGGAGTAGGGCGATACGGAGCCGGGCGACTTGTTGGCACTCGTGGAGCAGTTGGAGGGCACGACGGCGGCGGTGGTGCAGCTGGTCAGCGTGCTGGTGGCGGAGCTGGATGACGAGGAGGATGAGGAGCAGGACGACGACGAGGACGATGAGCTGCTGCTGCTGTTGTTGTTATTGTTGCTGTTGCTGTTACTGTTGCTATTGTTGTTGTTGGCAGTGTTGCTTTTGCAAATCAATGCCTGCAATTTGGTATTATTATTGTTGTTGTTGTTATTGCTACTACTGTTGTTGTTGTTGTTGTTGGTGATGGTGCTATTATTATTGTTAACACTGGCCCCAGCACTGGGCATTAAACTTCCATCGCAGAACTCCCGCTTGACAATGTTGCTGCCACCGCTGGTGCTGTTGTTGCTGTTGCTGGTGTTGCCGCCGCCGGTGTTGATGTTGCTGCTGTTGCTACTGCTGTTACTGCCACCGGGTGTTGCCCCAATTGCCGCCTCGCATGGGAGAACAGTGCCCAGCATCTTGTCCAGCGTACTGTGTGTGTACTGTGACTGTGACGTTGTGGATTCAGCGGCACCGGCAGAGTCCTCGCAGCCCTCGGCCATGTCCCGTGTCACTGACCCGTTCGCATCCTGGGCCACACCTGGAAAAAGGATAACAAAAAGAGCGGCTTCGTTAAGTACCTTGGCTGGCATTAAAAATTAAACGAAAAGTCAAGAAAACAAGCATTCAAGAATGAAAATAAATACGAAAACTTGGCTAAAATCCAACCATTATTCCCAATTTTCGTTTACCCCTTTTAATACCGTCTGGTTAGGATATCACTCCTTCTCAAGTTTCTGCCTTTGGCATCATAATTTAGAATTTACATTTATCGAATATATTTCGTGCACTTAAGACCCATACCCAAGCGCATTAATTTCATTAATTATCCCTGTTGGCCGTCGGTTGACCACGGCAACATGGCACAAACAACAATAACTCTGGGGGAGAAACACACACACACTCTCCATACACACATGCCGCATAATTTTGCAAAATGCAAAGTCGGAGTCCGATTCTGAGGCCATGTCCTTTTCCAGTCACGACGTTCTGCACAGGACAATACACATACAACTCTTGCCGCCGGAATCGTTAAGAGGGGATTGCACAGCAATAAAATTTAATGTCTTATTGCTAATTAAATAAAGAAATAATTACGCAAAGAAACCCAACAATATCTTTTTTAAATACATAATTATTTTATTAAATAAAATATATTTTAAAGGTTAAAATATAATTTTATTTCCCGTGTAAAGTTCCTGATGATAGACACAAATTCTGAGGCATACAACCACCCGTATCTGCAAAAGAGGGATGCAACTTTCGGTGGCCAGTTGTGGACTAAGGGGGACTGTGCACAGTCGTAATCGAAAATTTTACACCTACTCTGCATTATAATTTATGCCCGGAGAGGGACATCTGACCAAAAAGGATTCGGGGGTGCAGAATGCGGCGAACGTGTCTGGCAAGAAAGTTTCTCCAGCAAAAGGAGAAATTAAGGACCAAATTAAGAGTGGGATATGTTCGGAATAAGAGAACGTATGAAAATGTTTTGGGAGTGCAGGTCGAACAAGGACACTGGAAAGATAAGGACAAGAAGAAGTAGCCCTTTTTTCCAAAAAGCGCACTTTAATGATTAATCAAAATACTAAGAGCTCTCATAAACGTAGGGGTCGATGGAAATTCCAGGTAAAAGCCAGGTCCGAAAGGCGCCTAAATTTAACCAAAAATTTGCCTAAAGAGCTTACCTAACTTTGGCCAACAAAGGAAACATCAATGCCTATGCCTTGACATTTGGCCCCAAAAAAACACACAAGCCTGAAATTCGGGGACAGAATCCAGAAGACAGAAGAAGTGCAGGTCCTTGGTAGCATTGTCTGCAGGTCTACACAAAACGGGCGTTGATTTTAATGCATAATGCATACAGCTGGCTCCCGTTCCTAGTAATCCTTTCAACTCCTTCCCAGGACCACAGGACCTCCTCTTCTATGTGCGTGTGTGTGTGTCTGCAGTTGTAATAATGCAAGCAACTGCACTCGGAACTCAGAACTCGAGTCGCAGTCCGACTCGAACTTTTGTAGCTCGAATTCGGACCCTCAGTTTTTTGCAGCTTATGCACTTGAAGAAAATGGCCTAAGATTTTGAGAATTATTTGTATTTAAAATAATATAAATCTTAATTTTTAAACCACTGTTGATCCTGCGTCTCTAATTTTATGAAAATGGAAACATATCCTTTAGAAACACTCATTTTTTCCAGTGCCTGTTGTTTATGTCGACACTGGCCAGCCGGCAGCAGTCAACGAACGCACTTTTCCGGCCACACTGCCATCGCCGTAATGAGCCACAAGAGGCAGGGGCAGGGAACACACACCAGAAACACTGTGCCTTGAAAGTTGGAGTGTGCAGGACATGCAATGCCAATGCCTCTGACTCTGACTCTGACTCTGCCTCTGAGTCCAAGCCCGAGAGCCCAGAGCCAGAGCTGAGCAAAGAGCTGAGCGTGTTGTAGATTTTGGCCAGGAAACCGGGAGGCATTTGTGGAGGTGGTAGTGGTAGTTGGAGGGTTTCGGTTGGAGAGGGCGTAATAATTAATTTCGTACGTTGCATGCAAATGTCTGGCCATCAGCTCCTTGCCCTTTCCCTTCTTAACCCTTGTGCCTGGCCTCTTCTAGCAGTCCTGGCATCTGGCATATGCATAAGAAGCAAAAACAATGCATAATATCAACAATAGCAGCAACAAAAAGCCAGAGTACACATCGGCAATACACAAAATAATTTCAGGCATGCGTCAACAGCAAATGCCGAAAGCAAGTGAAGTGCAAGCGGAGGCTATCATTGAAATCTAAGGGAGCAATGTTGCAAGTTGCTGCTACATGGTGTGCTGTAGTGATCTGGCAATATGTTGTGAAAGCTAGTGACTCTCGAACAAAAAAATCGGAGCGACAAAATGTGCAGCCAAATTAAGTACAATTTGCGCATATTAAAGTCTAACAAAATTACACGGAGGCCAGTGGCTGCAACAGCAACAGCAATTGCTTGGCGATGCAGCAACATGCGGCAACGGCAATATTTTGTCGCTTCCTGCGATCGCTGCTCGCCACGAAATCTAATCAATAACTAGCAAACTAGTAGAATTTCATGTAGCACACTAAATAGCACGATTAATTATCGCCATGCTGGCAACTATAATTCAAATCAAGCTAGCTTCATTTTCAATGCACGCCAGCAACATGCCATCCGCAACATGAGACACACACACGCTTAACTTCTATCGACTGGCAAACGCATTACAAACCGGTCTAATTATACTCATTTTCTTGGTACCTGCAACATGTTGCTCTTGCTGCAGTTGCTGCTGTTGATGCTGCTGCTGCTGCCAAGCTATAAATTGCAATTTCCATGCAACTTTCTATCGCCGCCAAGAAGCGGGCAAAAAAATTTATCATTCAAAGCTGGCAGCTCTGGAGAGGATGGGCATGCTATCGTATCGTATCGGATCGGATCGAGGAGAGTCGTTTGGCGAGCGTTTTGTCTTCGACAGCAATTCGTAGGCAATATTCAAATTAATAAAATCATCAATAATTTTGCATGGCTTTGCAAACATGTAGAACATGTTGCTGCTGCCGCTGCCGCTACCGCTGCCATTGCCGTTGCTGCAGCAACTACGGCTGCAACTTGTTGTAATTAATAGTCAAACTAAATTGTAGCACACTTGCCATCATTTAGAGTTAGGAGCCAAATGTGGCACAAAGCAATTTTTGATTAGAAACCAGTGCCCGGACGGGCAACGTCCAACGGACATCGATCCCCGCCAAACACCCGAACTCCTCGGGCCGCTCTAGACAACTTCATTTTTATGGCCAACTCTTGGGCTATTAAATTTTTCTTTTGATTTGTAATTAGCGCAAAATGCATATTAAATAGCCAACGACAAACTGGAGGAAGTGAATGGAGGTTGCTGCAACTCGGCAGAGCGGCCAAACAGAAACTAGCAACTTGCAACTTGGAACCTGCAACCTGTAGTCCGCCTTAGTCACCCGGAATTTGGGTACAAAATAATCAATAATGTGGAAGGCACGGGTGGCCAAAGCAACATTAAGTCATTGAGTTTAAATTATTTATGCAACATTTATTTACGCACACACACCGCCACAGACACAGACACAGACACAGACGTGAGCATAAAAAGTTCCACAAGTTCTTGTCGGAAGTGGGGGGTTTCATTGTTTTAGGGTTGCAACTGCTGCTGCTGCTGCTGCCACTGAGGGTGTATACCAAAACGTGCAATTTTCTTAAAAATTACACACGATTACACATGAAATACAGCGACTGATATATGCATTATAATGGAACCACTGGTTTGGGGTGAAACGAAATTTATTTAAAGTTTTCTGTTCTCGAAAAGTTTTCAAGGTGTTATGGGGGGTGTCCTTAATGCGGGATTTTAAATGGAAATTTTTCAGTATAAAATTTAATGAATTAATATTTATTTAAGCTTTTTTGTAAACATTCTCCCTAAGGCTTCATCTCCATCGGTAACCCATCCAGAAAAATCAAGGACAATGGGCACTTGCAATCCGGTCAGTAGACTTCGGCCAACTTCCTTTCCAAATGCCCGTTTCATTCATTCCATTTACATTTTCCACTCAAATCATTAAAAAAAATAATAATAATAATAATGAAATTTGCGTGATTGAAGCCGAGCACGCACTAGGCGATGCCAATAACAGCAACAACAATCGCCAGAGGCGTATTCAATACAACAAGCACGGCAGCAACAATAAACATGTGCAACCAAACGCCCCCAGAGAGACGACCTAAAAAAAAAAATTATAAAAAAAAACCAGAAACCGGGGAAAGGAAGTCAAAGTCATGCCCAGTCTGAAGCTGAAAAATCAACCCTCTCTGGGGTCCTGGGGTCCTGGATCCTGCCCCTTCGCACTCGGCCAGACATTGTCCTTAATGCGCCGCGTAATGAGTTGTTCGCATTTTTTCCTGTTTGGTTTTTGCAAAGTAGAGGTCTCCCTTTTCGCTTTTTTTCCCCGCTGGCTCGCAGTTGATCGCCCACATTCGGCGATTTTAATTCATTTATAAAGGAAAATAATAATGAGAAATAGCAGGGTATCAATATTTGATTACCGACGAATTTTAAATGCTCTATAAGGATATATAAAAGAAGATACATTTGAGGCAGATACATTTAAAACCTTGTTTTAAACAGAAAAGTTTTTAAAACAAAAATTAGAAAAAATACATTGTTTCAAATTTAGAAATAGAATGATGGGGAATCAAAAAAGGAAATGTTTGAGGTACTGCCCTCAAGGATCGAGTAAGAATTAAGCAAGATATGGGCATCGTTTGGATCCCCTTATGGACTTCAATGAATTTCTCCTGTGACGTTCTCCTTTCAAACCTTATTAGAAATCTTCATAATTTACTGCAGTTCAATATGATGTAGCTTAAAAAATCTATTAGTTCTAAATGTATTTCCTATAAGCTTCCAAGATGGTGTTACAATCGTAATACCCTCAACTTAAAAATCATTGAGTAAAAGGTGAATTGCATGTCCTGTTTCGTGTGGCAGCCGTGTAATCTAGCT